CTGTGCTGCGTCAATATGGAGTGTATTTTTCATTGAGCCAAGCAGTCAAAGAATATTTCTTTAGCAATGGTCTTGTTGGCATGGCTCAGCCTCATTCATATCCTGTTTGTAAGACCAGTAGACGCTATCCTCTCTCCTTAAGCAGAACCACTGGTCACTGTTCAGTCTATTCTGAGCAGTGGTGATGTAATGAAAGAACCTTCTGCATAAATTGGTCAAAAGGGCAGGAGTTTCCCCATCTACCTCACCCATTAATGCCTGCCTGACTTGAATGGCTGATTTAAATGCCACCCGCAATCCCAATCGCTGGCGTTGCCAATATCCAAAGCCATCATGGGACTTGTAGTTCAATAAGGCTACTGAATAGAAAAAGGATGTGACGCCAGCCGTCTCAATGTTCCCTCCTCCCCAGTGCAAGACACATCTATATTGCTTTACTAATAATTAGGGATGCACCGATACTGATACTAGTATTGGTGCCGATACCGAGTATTTGGGCGAGTGCGAGTACTCGCCCAAATGCTCCCATACTTACCTCCGTTACCGGAACCTCCGGTCAGAAGAAGATCATCCTCTGACTGGCAGTGCCGAGGAAGCATGGAGCCGGCTTCCTTTCTAATCAAGAAGCCGGGCGATTATGGGTTATGATGACCCATCTCCCAGCTTTCTGATTGGTTAGGAAGCCAGGCTGCCTAGGAACAAGTGAAGCCAGCTTCCTAGCCAATCAGGAAGCCAGAAGGTAGGTCATGACGTGTCGCCCGGCTTTCTGATTGGCTAGGAGGCCGGCTTCACTTGTTGCTAGGCAGCCTGGCTTCCTGACCAATCGGGAAGCCGGACAGCACCTCATGACCTGCCACCCGGCTTCCTTATTGGTCAGGAAGCCAGGCAGCCTCGGAAAGTGAAGCCGGTGTTCTTTCGATAGAACACAGACTTCCCAGGAAATCAGGAAGCCGGGAGATGGGTCATGATCCGCCGTCAGATTTCCTGATAATCGGGGCACACGACACTGGTACTCGGAACTCGGATTCGGCGAGTACCGGGAAAAAAATATGGGTACTCAATAGTGGAAAACTGGTATTGGTGCATCCCTACTAATAATGATGGCGTAATGTTGCAATAAAAGATCTTTGTTGCAGAAATTAAGTAACTTAGAGAATAAAAAATGCTTGTTTTGCTTGAAATTGAGGTAAGGAAAGTGTAGGAGGGAGGGGG